CAATAAAGATTTTGCCATTTCCAAAGTTTTTACATTATCCAACATTATCTACGCTTTGACTTTGGAAAGTTCATTTAGTTCGTACTCAAACATTTTCTTTGTCTCTTGTTCAAACAGTTCCTCCAGGCACTTTAAGCGGTGGTCCGAGTTGTGATAGGCAAACATATTTGGGAAGTGAGAGCATGAGTAATGTCGTCGAGTTAGAAATTCTGAATGGTGGGTGGCTTTCACTCCCCCTATGTTCTCTAGTAATAATCCTACGTAAACGTCTTCCATTTTAAATACATTCTTGGTGTCGAGCAATTCTGCAAGCTTGTCTACCAGATCTGATGACAACAGATATGCTGGTCCGTTGCAGTAATCTGGGTATATAGCTTTATTGTACTCTTCCTTGGATACACCATATCTACCGAAACGGTATACAGGTGCGTTGTAGAAACAATATCCCATATAAAGGTTGGTGTTTGGGGTCTCAGGCCTTTTCAGATAGCCAATCAGGTTTCGAGGGCTCACAAAGACGTCATCATCCACTTTCAACAGAAATTTGAAATCACAGTATCTTGCTGCCCACTCTATACCAATTTGTGTCTTCAGGGTTAGATTGTAGTAATGATCGTTGTGACTCCCTCGTATAACGTCTCCGTATATCACAGCTTCAGCGTCCAAATAATCATTCTGGTTCCTATCTTTGGCTTGGCCGATTAAAAACACGGTCGTCCATCGTTTTTCTAGATACATATCACTTCCCCATGTTCTTCGAATAACTGCTCTCGTATCAAAATTACCAGGGGCTGATGCCACCACAATCAAAAGGAATATTGTTTGCGTGCATGGTGTGCGTGAGATCAAATACGTTCGATGTGGAATGCTTTCCCGCTCTTTGGCCTGGGATGCACTGCGTGTGCTCAGTTTCAATGGGGTTAATGGTGGCGTGTTGTTGTTGAAAATATTGTGGGACAGCTCCTTGTCAGCGACAAAAGTACGGTAGAGAATTTGTTCTTGAGAAATCAAAACATAAGTAATGACCGAGGTAGTGAACAAGATGACTAACCGAAAAGCCAGCTGAATGTTTAGCTTGTAACATACAACCCACATCACTCTCTTGACAGAAGTTCTCCCAGATTTCAATTTCTTCAAATTCGGTGTGTACCTTTTTCAGTTGTCTCAGATTTGGCGCCACTTGTTGTCGGCACGGTGTACAGAAGGCTGCTTCTTCTCCTGTGAAAAGAAAAACAGAAGCAAAAACCAAAACTACTTATTTCCATGGATTCCGAATTTCAAGACAGAAAGGAAAGCATGGTGGTTACAGCTTCTGGAAAGAGGCACCTGATCCCGCATTCCAGATTCATTTTTTTTTGCGACAATCATCATCTCTATTCCAAACACCATATTTTTTTCGGTAACGCATCCCTGGCCGAGACTTTGCCGAGTCCCGTTTCCCGACCGGTAAAATCCCCTACCCAGATAGTGTTTAATAGATCTTTCGGGATCCGGGATTTCTCTTGTTTGAATCTCGGGATTCGGGATTTTAACGAAAAATCCGGGAGACATTCGGGATTGAAACTATCGCGGGAGGTGGCATGCCGAAAAAAAAGAAACATTGGGATTACGTGATTGCACGAAATGTGGAGTCGGAATTACGGGATTGAAGAACCCTATTGGGAACTCCCTATCCAGTCAATAAATGTTGCGTTTATACACGTATGTACTTCGGTAAAATCCCGGAGACCGATAATTCTCTTCCAGAACCTTAATATAATTCAACTGTTAATTTCCTGTTGTTTCTTTTTTTCTTTAAAGTCGAATCGTTGTAACGACGCTTTCCTGTAAAAGTGAGGAACAGTAGCAGCTTGTACTATCTGAGGTTCTATGAGCACATCTTATAGCTTTCCTTCTATCAATCTTTCTTGCTCATATCGAATGTACGCCACCCTAACTTACTCCATTTCGCAGTGATGAGAGCGCTCGCCTCCGACCTATATGTGACCTACCCCCAAAATGCAGGCATCGACGCCATGTGTGGGTTACGTTTGTTGCTGGTTCTCTCCTTTGCTTCGAGAGTGTCTTTTTTTTTCTGTATAATCCGGATGTCTATGGAACAAGTTCCCCTTCGAAATTCGAGCTTGTTCTGATGTTAATGTTTTTTAAATCGAAGTTGAAAACGTTTCTTTTTAAAAAGGTATATGACATTTAGTTTCATCATATTTGTTTTTGCTTTCTTTTCTTTTTAAGATGTGTATGCTATAAATTTCCCAATATGTACAGTAGGGTTATATGTAAGCTTGTGATTAATGACATTCTTTGTCCTTTTTTACATTGTAAAGCGCGTAGAACAGCGATGTATAAGCGCTATATAAATTCCATTATTATTATTATTATTTCCCCTTTTCTCAAAAACTAACATCTCGAAGTTCCAATTCGACCAGAAAGCAGGTAGACGAAAAAAAAAAAACAACAACAACAACAACAACTGAACTGAGGGGACGTGTTACCTCTAAGTCCTTATTTATTTATTTAGTTTGTTTGTTAGTTATGTTTTTTGAACCCACATGAAGAAATCAGTCATAGGCATAAGCACAGAAGCCGCATTTGAGAATTTAAATATTCATTGATTATTTTTAACATAGTGCTTATTTGCATCACATAAACTATGGCATTATATTTCCTAACAGATGTAGAGCTATGTTGTAATGAAAATGCTGTTACTAAACCATCATCGTCATTATTATTATTATTATTAATACAAGTAGTAATAGTATAAGTATTATTATTATTATTATTACAATTGTTACTATTAACAGAAATAATATTTCTTCGTAAGAGGTTTTTTCTACGCGGTGTCGGAATCGTTCTTCAAGCTAAAAGCACCCCTGATTGGTCCCATTCAATTGGACCAATAGAATAGTATTCTTTGTAAATTCTAACTGATTCTGGTTTAGAAAGTTATTATCTATTACGCTGCTTCTACTGCTGCTTCTATCACAACTTGTCCTAATTGGGTTTAATTTCCTATCAAAATCCTGGTTTAAATGTTCTTCTTTGTCATCTTCTAAGTAGATCACCACTAAATAGTTATTTCCTACTTATTTCAAACCATTTTAGCCTGTAGCATTGCCCAGTTTGCTAAATTCTAACTCTAGTCTCTCTTTGATCCCTTCTTCAAACAATTCCTCCGCACACTTTACGGAAGCTTCGTGATAAGCAAACATATTTGGGAAATGTTTGCACGGCTCACCAGATTCTTGAGTGCGAAAGCTTGAGTGACCTACAGCCTCAACTCCACCTATTTTACGAATTAACATGCCTATATAAACATCTTCGAGTCTAAAAGGGGTATAAGTGTCAAATAATTCCACTAATTTGTGGACTAAATCTGACGATAACAAATACGCTGGCCCGTAGCAGTAAGTTGGAAAAGTAGACTCACTGTACTCTTCTCTGGTTATTCGGTGCTTGCCAACACGTAGAACAGGCGCGCTGTAGAAACAGCGTCCCATGTAAAGGTTAGTTACTTGGGTGTCAGGCTTTTCCAGGTGGTCCAACAAGTTATAGGGGTTAACAAATACATCATCATCCACTTTGAGGAGATACCTGAAATCGCAATATCCTGCCGCCCACTCGAGACCCATTTGCGTCTGCAGAGTTAGATTGTAATAATGGTCAATGTGACTTCCTCGTATGATATCTCCGTATATCGTACCCTCTGCGGCCATATTTTCACTCTGATTGTTGTTGTCTAAAGCTTGACCAACGAGAAACACGGTTTTCCATCTCATCTGGAGTGATCGATCATTCCCCCATGTCCTCCGAATGACTGTTCTCCTGTCCGAGTTAGCAGGGGCAGAAAGCACCAAGATTAATAGGAATGCGTTTTGGGTGCAACGTTTGCGAGAGAGCAAACGTGAGAAACGTCGACGATAAGGTTCTTGTTCGGTGACATATGGATTTATTTTCCAGCTTATATCATTCTTGTGATGTCGTCGAGAGCTCTGAAGTAGATAATATGTAACAAGCAGCACGCTGGATAAAACTCCAATGAGCAGTGCGTTACGAAGATTTGTTTTTGTCAGAATCCGCTGTCCTCTTTGAGCTAAGTAACCATTTCCCATTTTGCTATGTGTTGCGTTATATGCTGACTCTTCATGAATTTGTTGTCTACTCACTTATAGAGCTTTGATGGGTTAAAGCGAGAAAGAGTGTTACGACTCCAGTTGCTGGTCAATGAATCAGATATTTTTTTGCAGGAGTCCTAAGTGCGAAACAAAGAAATATGTTCAAAAGCTAAACATCACGATCATCAATCTGATCAGGGGCACTAACGACGGTTTTCTCCTGAATACATTGAAGACACTTTTTAGGCTATCCAGAGCTCTAGAAACTGCATTCTAGGTGGCGCTATAAAATTTGTATCCGTTCGGTTATTCTGGGCGAAATTAAGTCTTTACGAAGTTACAATTGCTTCAGCATCTTCCTCTCGAAATTTTTAGATGCAATTTACCGGTAACGTATCACGCAAATGAACATTTTCTGATTCCTCTCTCACTCAAATTTTTGAATCTGAAAATTTTAGGTTTCCTTTTTCTCTACGAAAAATAGCCTAACGTGGGAAGTAACAGGTAAAAAATTGAACTTCAGAAAATCATGGGGAATTTATCGGATAAGCTTAGAAAATTGTAAATGAATGGAATGGTCGTCTAGAAATTTTTAGCTGTTCTCAAGTAATAGAAAGTTCAAGGCAATATAATATTTGCTTCTCCGAACAGATATTTTACAGAAAAGAGTCGTTGGGTGCCGCTGTCTGATTAGGTTATGGTTATGGAGATGATTTGCAGTAACTTTAACTCCCAGGAAAACACTTTCAATTATACAGATTTAATTGAACAAGTCAGGTTCAGTTCATCAAATGTTGTTACAATCTCGCGCAAGGTCTCTTTCTAACGGTTTCCCCGCCCACGAGATAAGATATTCGTCCTCTTTTTAAAGTTTTTTATTAAGAGCGATAGTTTTTGTCATCTTTTCATTCATTTAAGTCTCTGGGACGGTTTGGGTCGCTTTCACTCCGTGTGGAACAATATGCACTTTATGCCACGTTTTGAAAGAAACAGTTTTGTTTTCTCTCGAGTCCAAGTGTTTCCCTTGACTTCGTTTAGAAAACATTAGGTTTTTATTTTAGTATAAGTCAATTTAATCAACTTAAAAAAATTATCAATAATTTTTGGTCAGTAGCTTTTGCAATACTGTAGCGGTTTTTTAAAGTGATGCAAATAAAGCTTATTGTCGTTGTTAACTTTTGCAAAAGGCGTTCCCGCTATTAATAACCATTAAAGCAACTACACCCCGAGGAAAAGATATAGAGTTTCAGACGCAAGGTCATTTAGGCAAAACCGAATGGAATTGTTTATAAACATGAACCAGACCCCAAAATGAATGCATTTGCTCGAAATGAAGAACATCTATTCCCGGCAAGAGAATCCAGAGTAGACCAATTGCAATGTTTGTTGCCGGTTCTTTTCTCTGATCCGCGTAGTTTTCCCGGTGACGGTAAAAGGTTAAATGTGTTTGCGGAATGGCATGTGGCATGGCTTGCCGAATGACATAATTATGTGGAATGTAATATATGCCGAATGACTCAAAGAAAGAAATTAAACTATTAATTTGCAAAAGCAGCCGGCGGATTTCGGACTGGCAGCCCCTTTTTTATATCGCGGGCTTGACTTTGATGACAATCAAAAAGCCAAGAAGGACCCCTTGAGTTCTCACTGTCAATTAGCCTTTTTCGCGCAGCCACAAAGATTCTACTTGCCTTTATTAGTAGGGCTGCACACCAGACATCACGATAGTGAAGAAAAGAAATTGAAGAAAAGATGTTTTGAAAGGTCACGTTCCTTCTACTCTATTTTTCTTTTTGTACAAAAAAAAATTCACCAAAGCAAATTCACCAGAGCAATTTACTGGTTATCTACCAAAGTTACACTTTGCTAGTTCATTCTTTTTTAACCCTGTATCTCCTTGTGAAATTGATTCTGAAATAATGACTATTCAACTAGACAGGGCACACGGGCCGTATTCATTTCCCACTCGGATTTTAAGATTGGCTAAACATATTATAAACCAAACTCTATCAATTCTCATCAATAAATCAATTGAATTTGGAACCTATCCATCTAAATTAAAGCTTGCCAAAGTAATTCCAATTTACAAAAGTGGTGATGAATCTGACCCCTCCAATCATAGACCCATATCACTCCTCTCCATCTTTAACCGTATCTTCGAGAAGATAATCTATAATCGCCTCAAGTTATTTATTGAGAAGTGCATCATTCTCCATGATTCACAATATGGTTTTGTGAAAAAAGGTCTACTGAGCATGCCTTTTAGACACAATTAATAAAACTGAAACTGACATGGATAAAAAGTTGTACTCATGTGGTGTGTTCATTGACTTGCAAAAAGCCTTTGACACAGCATATCATTCAATATTATTAAGAAAATTAAATCATTATGGAGTTCGTGGAATGATTAATAATTGGTTTGCATCATACCTAGTGGGTCGTCAACAAACAACAAAAATTGGTCCTAAAACATATCCAAAAAAGAAGTAGTGTTATCAGGTGTCTCACAGGGATCGGTCCTAGGACCCTTACTATTCCTTATTTATATAAATGATATATGTAACAGCTCTGATAAATTGAAGTTCTACTTATTTGCTGATAATACTAATTTGTTATATGCTGACGAAAATCTCAAATCGCTTGAATCTACAGCTAATGCACAATTTTTTAGGGTTTATAACTCACTTATTGCAAATAACTGATTATGACTAAATGTAAAGAAATCTAACTTTGTCATTCTTAGACCAAGACAAAAAAGGTTAAATCACCAAGTCAACTTGAAAGTATCTGATCATCATAACAACTCATACATTTCTTTAAAATGCAAAAATTATGTCAAATATCTAGGTTTCCTTATTGATGAAAATATTTATTGGAAATACCATATCGCTCACATCGCTTCAAAAATAAGTAAAACAATTAACAATTGTTATTGGACGAGGTTGGACGAGGTTGAGCAAAATATCGTGATTTGTCTATGGCGAGCAGATTAATTCGGCTTCGGGAAATGATTGATCTGCGAGACACTGTCAAATCACGATATTATGCGATAACCGAGTTCAATAATTGTTTTATCATTCGATCACCGAGTTTGTTTTTTTAATGAATATCCTCGGGAAGCGAAGCGATCTGCCATTTTCCCGCAAGAGCGATCGCAAGGCGGAGAAAGGCACGGTTTCCTTTACACATGTGCGGAATATTATTTGCAGCCAAACACAGTTGGACGGCATTGCGCATGAGCAGACCATTATTTGTAGGTAGTTATTTGTAGGACATGTGGTGGGCTCTCGGCAAATGAAAAGAAAGAAAAATTGCTTCGAATGATAATAGGCATTATTGCCAGCCTTAGACACTTTGTACACCTGAATACTCTACACCAGATATACATATCCAGGAGCCAACAACAACAACAACAACAACAACAACAACACACTTTATTTCACCCCATAATATACAAGAAATAAAAATTTATAACAATAGTACAGACGATGATAGGGGCGCTGGCTGCCCGAAATAACCTGACAGTTAAAAATGCCAGGCAGCCAGTTAAAGGAAAAGATGTTTAAATGTTTAGGTCAGGGACACAAGAACAAAGAAAACAGAGAAACACACACAAATAGTTAAGTAAACTACCAGTATATAAAGAGACTAAAATTCATACATTGCAAAACAGTATTATTTCCATTTTAAAGTTACAAATGGAGCCTCCATCTCCACTAATTTCTTGAGTCAACCCTTTCCCGAGTACATTTATAAATAGAACGGCTTGTTTCCCGCGAAAAGTGTCATATTTCCGTGAGTCTCGTATGTCACCGTGAAAAAATTAAGTTGGATGAAGTCGAACTCAGAAGCCTGTCCTTCGACCGTTTTCCTTTTTTGCTATACGTCCATTTTTACGATTTTACAGCCGCTGGGATCTGGGCATCATAAAACAAAAGTAATGAATTACCCGACGACTGAGCATGAAGCGATGGGACAAAGGTAGCGAACTGAGGATCACGGAAAGGTTATCTTTGCGAGAGTTTTTTTTTTTTGCCGTCATACATCCCACGTGTAAGCATGCACTTTGAAAAGAGTCGACGATTAAGCGTTCTGTGGACGATTTGGAACTTTTCGATGATCGGCGCCGAAAAAGTACCAGGATCATTTGATTTTTGTCATCACCATGGAGTGGATTTCACCAGTTAAGCACCGCGTGCAAAAGCGATGACCTAAGTAGCAACTAAAGAGGAATGCTTTAGTTCCGAAATTTGACAAATTGCAGTCTTCCTTTACAACTGACTTGTATTACCATGAGTGTTGCCTGATAAAATGGGCTTTCTTATTCAGCCTTGCTTATTGTATGGTATAGTCGCTTGGGGCCAAGCTGCTAAAACTTACAAAAACAAAATTCTCATTCCTCAAAAACGCGCCCTCCTCCTCATGTTCTTTTGTGACTACAATTCTCATGCAGTACCTTATTTTTCTTCCCTTAGATCTACCATGGATATAATAGAAAGACCCAGTCTTTCTATTTTCCATGGATCTACTCTACTCTAAATCCGTTGCTATTCTAATGCATGATATTTCTAACAGCTTAACACCACTAACATGTCTAACTTATTTGCTTCCCCATCTAATATTCATTCATATAATACAAGATCATCTTCAAGAGGTGACCATTATGTTAAACACTCAAGGTTAGACAAACAAAGTCTCTTTCAAGATATGGTGTAAAAATCTGGAATAGTTTACCGTGTGAAATGCGTTAAATGTCCAAAAATAACTTTAAAATTAATGTCCAGGACACTTTACTCCGAATACTTCCAGAAGAAAATGATTATATTGATTTACCCGACTTAATAACAGAAATTTTCTGAAAACTCGGCTTCTTATTTTGCAATGTACATGATTGTAAACGTAATTAAATTAAATTAATTTTTATTTATTTGTTTATGTATTTAACATATTTTTTACTCTTTTTCTCTAGTCTTTCTTGTGATCTATTTGCATATATA